GACTGTAGGCAAAATCTAAAGTCTGCCTTGGTTTGCCTTCTAAGCCTCATGAGGTTTTAAAATCTAAGATTCCTATGTAATCAATCGTTATCTTTGCAGCACTTGTATATATAACCAGACCAAGATTGATGAAACTAAACTTGTTTTACAAATTGGTCTTACTCTAATGATTTTTGATAAAAATGAGGATTACTGTAGAGAGAAAAGTTGTATTTCCAAAAGAAAGCTGTAACACACAAGTTATTAATTGCTCTGTCACCCAGGCTGGAGTGCAGTGATGCAATCATAGCCCACTGTAGTCTCAAATTCCTGGGCTCAAGCACTCCTCCTGCCTCTGCCCCAGAGGAGCTGGGGCTACAGGTGAATGGCACCATGCCCCGCTAATTTTTTGTAGAGATGGGGTTTTGCTATGCTGCCCAGGCTGGTCTTGAATTCCTGGGCTCAAGCAATCCTCCTGCCTCGGCCTCCCAAAGTACTGGTATTACAGGCATGAGCTGCCGCGCCGGGTCCTCCTGTGCATTGTTTTTGAATTCTTCTTGTATACCTGTAGATTGGACTGGACTAGATTCTGAATTATTCCAGAGATCTCCACTCTTTCTTCCATAGAATTATTATAAATGGGAACGACTCTGTTCCTGAAGCCATAAATCGAAACTAGATGAATTTTAAGGGACAAGTCTCACGCCTGATGTATGGCTCAGAAAGTTCACCAAACCACCTGATGCCATAACCAGAGACGTTCAAACTACAAACCAGGATGAGAAGCTGACATTCTCACATTGTAAAGAGCTTTCCCCAAGCTCTCTAAAGTGTGATATTATGATGTGGAATAAGACTCCGGATTATAATGAGACTCCTACCCCCTCTTAATGCCTACCTTTTCATTTGGCAGGACAATGGTATAACTGAAATTTCAGAATCAGTAGCTGCTGCTGGTAATTTGACAGAAACAGACCTAAGGGATCCTGTTTAGTTCACCTAGTGGGTGATTCTGGCCACATCCCTAATACAACTGCTACTCACTCTGCTTTAATTCAACCCAGTCATGGGACACTGGACGATGAAATCATACTGTCTTATCTCTTGGTTAAATAAAGAAATGTTGGGGTCCCCGGGCGGGGCCTGAGCCAGTCTGCAGCTACGGGCCCTTCAGAGGCCCCGAAACTTTGTGGCGGTCCAGCACAGCGTCCGCCACCCACCCTCCAGTCTCCACCAGGCCAGCTCCGACTGCCAGTGGCACCCACGTGCGTTCTTCAGGGCGCTCTCCCAGCAAAGCAGGGGCCGCCCGGGTGGCAGGATCCACTGTCTGGCAAAGAAAAAATGCTAGCTGTGGAACACAGAGTGCAGGCCCCACGACCTCAGCAGGCACTGGGGGGGGCGGCGCGGGCGTGTGGCGATTCTACAACAGAAGATTCACCTGGGCTTAAAGTTGGCCCCATTCCAGTATTGGTTATGAGTCTTCTGTTCATCGCTTCTGTATTTATGTTGCAAATTTGGGGCAAGCACACTCGTTCATAGATTCAGTTACATCCATCCGTCATTTGAAGGAGGAGGAAAAAACCCAACATATCTTGGACCAAAAGTATAGTGTGATTTTCTTCTGTTCATGAGAAGGAAATTTTCTGTAAGCTTACTGTTTACAGGGGACTTCAGAAGAACTGATTTTGAGGATTCGATTTTTTTCCTATGGCTAATAAACTTTTCAATTCATTTAACAACAACAAAAAGGAAATGTCTATGGTATTGCTAACAGTATATGCTGTTCCTGGATAAATTTCTCATGGAAAGTTGAGACCCATATACACAAATAGGAAAACAGGCTGCATAGTTACAACAGGTCTCATCTAGTTCTCCGTGGTCACTGGTCATTTGATTTATTCAATTAGTTGCCTTTAAGCCTAGATTCATGGCTCAAAATTACTGTGCAAACTGAGATTATCATTTACTTTGTATTTTCCTTTTTAAACTTTCTACCTAAAAATTGAACAAAAATGTTCAATTTCTGCAGAAGTACAACTCCTAACAGAATAATGCTGGCCCAGCAGTTTGAGATGATAGCAAATGCCTACGAAACAGGCAAAATTGAACTTAACAATGGACTCTAGGTAAACTTAGCCTGACAGCCACTCTCTCAAATCTCCCTTGTTGCTCAAATGTGGCTGAAAGGATTTTGACAATGACTCCTAGTTGCCAGTCACTCCCTCTGACATGGGACCAGACCAATAACCCAGGATGGGTCCATCCTAGCATTGAGGGACAGACATCAAAACCTAACTATAGGTTGACTGATCGGTGATGCTTTTGGAGAAAGATCTTGATCAAAAAGGGGAAATGCGAATGTTGTCGGAGTCAAAACAGAGTCATTTGTGTTAAAAGTCCTGACAGACAGAGATAGGGAAGACCACAAAGAGAGGGTTCTCATGCCCGATAACAAGAACCCGCCTGTAATCCTAGCACTCTGGGAGGCCAAGGCTGGCGGATTGCTCGAGGTCAGGAGTTCGAAACCAGCCTGAGCAAGAGCGAGACCCCATCTCTACTATAAATAGAAAGAAATTAATTGGTCAACTAATATATATATATATATATAGAAAAAATTAGCTGGGCATGGTGGTGCATGCTTGTAGTCCCAGCTACTCAGTAGGCTGAGGCAGGAGGATTGCTTGAGCCCTGGAGTGTGAGGTTGCTGTGAGCTAGGCTTTTGCCGTGGCACTCTAGCTCGGGCAACAGAGTGAGACTGTGTCTCAAACAACAACAACAAACCCTTATAACAATCCTGCTAGGTAGGTGTTAATGTTCTCATGCTCAAAAGTTGAGAGGAGACAGAACTTGCCAAGGCTCAAATAGTTGCTATGTGGGAGATCTTCATTTGAACAGAGGGTTCAGAGCCTTCAGGAAAAGATAAAGGCCCTTTAGGCTTTATAACCTTGCGAGTCTCTCAATGCCTCTGATCTTTTACATGGTCATCCTACCACCTTTATCTAATTTGCAAAAAACATAATAGGAGAACAAACTTGGGGCTTTTAGAGGGCTGGAGTAAATATCCAGAGAAGCAAGATTTAAACTGGGTACTGCTCTCTGGAACTTGCCCTTTATTTCTATGCAACTGAAAAGGCTCAAGATCAGAATGCTTGGGGAGTGGTCATGAGGAGAGGAACAGAATACACCCATGTATGTGTGTGAGGGGCCACAACAGATTGGGATAAGGATGACATCTGTTCATTGAAGATGGAAGCTGGACCAGGATGAGGGGGAACAGACAACACCAGGGAGGAAAGGAGGCAAGGCAGGAAGGGCAAAGTTAAAGGAGGACCGAGAGAAGGGGCAATAGGAAAGAAGGAACTAGGAGAAAAGGCAGGTGTGAGTTATTCTGCAGTATTTTTTCCCTCTGTAATCTTTTCCTTGATGATCTCAGTCACTATTAGGCCCTCACTCTTTTCTAGTTGAAAGACTGCCAAATCTCCCGACTTTTCTCCAAGAGTTTAACTCCTCCCAGCCAGCCAGATCCACCCGTGTTTTCTATCAGCAATTAAGTCCAATAGGTCCCACCTGAATTTGGCATCGCCTCTACCCTGAGCCTGCTCTTACATTACATTCACCCTTACTTATCAAACACCCATCTGAACCTGATCTTTCTCCCCTACCTTCAAGCATTCTTTCATCCAACAAATACTTATTGTGGATCTGTTATGTCCTACACACTGCACCACAGCACTAGGTATATCCAGTCATTTCAGTGAAGTAGGGTCATTTCTATCTTGAAAATCTCTTTTCTGCTCACCTCGTCGTCAGCTGCCCAACTCAACTAGAGATGTACTTGAGAAACCCTCAAGCAAGAATCCCTCTTGCTTGAACACACGATACTATATGTGGCATACCATTCATTCTACAGTTATCACCCAGCACTTGGCACTGTACCTGGGACACGAAAGGGACAGTAAACTCACTGAAAAGGAAACTGGTGCAGCAGGAGCAGCAGCTAGGAGGCTTGTCTTGAAGGAGTATTTGCATGCGAAGCATGATGTTTTCCTTAAACCGTATCAACTATCCACATAATATCAGCTTGGTAATTCTTTTACTTCTGGGGTGTGGCTGTGGCAGGCTGGGGAGACTTGTTGGAGGTCTTCTGATGGAAGGCTGTCCACCTCCCTAACTCTCTTGCGTAGGTTACTCAATAACCACTTGTCGCATAAATCACTTTAGGACAGGGACCACCCATGGTGTGTTCTCCATTGTACCCCTAGGCCCTAGAACACCTGGTCCATAGCAGTTCAATAAATATCTGTGGGAGGATTCTCAAAAAGCAGGGACCCTAGACGTTTTACTTGCACCCCCCCCCTTAGGAAAGACAAAGATGAAGAGGCCTGAGGGCAAAGAAACAGTGCGAGATGCTTGCCTCCCGGTTCTCTCCAGGCTTGGCACACGGGGAATGCTCGCTGGGCGAGATGAATCGCCTCCCACACAACTCCAGATCGGCCCCCCGGCGGCCAGGCCTTGGAGGGCGGCCGCCACATGGCCCAGGCCCGCGTCCCTCCCTCCCGGCCTGGGCCCCCGCTACCGCCCCGCACACCTCCGTGCCCGCCACAGGCCAAGCGATCGCACGCTCCCGCGTTCCTGCCCCGAGGGCCAGGCGGGGCTGCGGCCCGGGCCCGCGCACACCCACCCGCCGGAGCGCCGGGGACGCCGCGGCCCGGCCTGAGCCCGCCGGGGCTCCGGCAGGCCCCGCCCCGGCCGCCGTCCATGTGCTCGGCCGCCGGCCGCTCTCCAGCCGCAGCCCGCCCGGGCCGGAGGGATCCACCGGGGAGGCCCGGCCCGGCCCTGCCGCGCTCCTCAGCGCCCGGGAGGCCGGCGAGGCGGAGGGCGGGAAGACGCCGCCGCTGTGAGGCGCCGAGGGCCGAGCGGCGGCGGCGGCGCCGGGGAAGGCGGGCCCTGCCCAGGGTCGCCAAGACGCAAGACCCCGGCCGAGGCGACGCTCCGGCCGCGGCCGCTCGCTCACCACTCACCACGGTCCGGCGGGGCAGCGCGCCGGGGGTCCGGGACAGGGCCCGGCGGAGCCTCCGCGCCCGGCCCGAGCGGGTCCCCCCGGAGCTCTCGGAGCCGCTGTCGTCCGAGATGACGATAAAGTCCTCCATGGCTGCGGGCCCCGGCCAGGCCAGCGCGCGAGCGGCCGGCGAGCCAGGCGGCCGCGGCGGCGGCGGCTTCGGTTCCTGCTGCCGAAGCGGTGGCGGCGGCGGTAACCGAGGCCATCACCCCGCCGGCCCCGCCCCTTCCCGCCCCGCGCCCCGCCCCTCCGGCCCCGCGCCCCGCCCCTTTCCGGCTGAGCGCGCCCCGCCCCTTCCCGCACCGCCCCTTTCCGGCCCCGCGCACCGCCCCCTTCCGGCCCAGCGCCCCGCCCCTTCCGGCACCGCGACCCCCGCTCCGTCCCGCCCACCGGCGTGAGCCCCCGGGTCAGGGCCGCGCTCTCCGCGCCCGGCGGCGCCCGGCCGCCCTTCCCTCCCTGAGGGGAGGAGAAAGAGAAAGGAGCCGCAGCCGGCGTGGGCCGGCGTTGCGGGCCAGCGACACGCCGAGACGCTCAGGCTTCCCCACCTGCTTCCAACTGACGGAAGTGTGAAGTGAGGTGTGGCCAACCCTACCTGGCCCAGGTGTGAGCCGGACGCTCCGACTGAGCGGCCTTGACTGACTGGCGGGGAGACAGACGGGCCCCCCTAGAGGGCGGCCGACCCGGGCTCCGAGTGACAGGCTAGCAGAGGGCTCCCCAGCTGGGGACAGCCTTGCTGACGAGGGAGGGGGACCCCTGGGTGACGGAGGGCGGGTGGCCCGGCTTCTGGCGGAGGGAGGGGAGGGACCCCACTTCCCCGCGCACCTGTGCGAGGGTATCTGAAGGATAAATTCCTGCAAGTGGAATTACTGGGTCAAAGGCCAGGCTTTTGTTATTGTTTTGATCAGTGATGTCCAACGACCCTTCTATTTTCTTTTTTTAAATTTTACTTCTTTTATTGAAATATTTTTTTTCTTATATTTTATTATTTTATCTTTCTGTTCTTAGTTTATGTAGACCCTTCTAAATCGAACCATTTTGCAGTTGCACCAACAGTGTGTATGTCTCTCAGGAATTTAAATTGTGAGATTTAGAGAGAGTGGTTCTGTTGGTAGCAGGATTGGAAGCTGAAAAAGTGCACAGAGAGCAGCCACGAGGAAGCAGAGGCCACGAATAAGCAGAGGAGAAAAGATGCAAAGAGACAGCCCCGAGAGAGGAAGCGGTAGGTAGTTGGCTGGTTGGTCGTAGGGGAGGAACATTAAAATCAAAACAACTACTAGTACAATCGATGTGGGTTATTGACAAAACTCTGCTGCTCAGGCTCCAACGAATTTGCAAAATATGTTAAGAGATCCAAAGAAAAATGTGTTTAGCAGAAGGGGTATTTGTTCCTCATGGACGTGGACAGGCTGTTCTCTCGCTCTCCGGCTGCTGCTACATCAGTAGCAGTTCTCCCAACGCGTCAGAAGCCCAGCTGCCAGCTCTCGCTTGGACTGTACACACTGCACTCTTTGGGGCCTGCCTGCCCTGAGCACTCCCTAATGTAGGAGACCTCAGACTCAACTTCTTTCTCTGGGACACCCCCACCAGTCCCTGCCAGGGACAATCTATTAATAACCTATATCCTTTTGTTGTTGAGGGATCCTCGTCTGCAGGTGCTTCTTGGGGAGTGCCAGCAGGAGCCTTAAACCCCAGCCACCTTTTGTGCTATCCAGTGTGACTCACATGTGGCAAACTTACATACATAATTCAAGGAGGAAGGGCATGTAGGCAGCTCCCATCCTGGTGCTCTTCTCTTAGCACTAGACCGTCTTTCTCCTCCCTTCCTTCACTCCCAAGGGCTTTGGAAAAGCTCATCCAGGTCAATGGTTCAGTGAATTCAGGCAAGTTCTCAGCTTGGGGAGGGAGAGAGAAGCTTGTTGGACCTTAAAACTTGTGGGAAGAGAATGTGGGAATAAGTGGAATGGCTCCCATCTCTTTCCACTAGGGACAGGCAATGGACTCCGGTTGCCGTCTACAGTAAATACTAGTCACTCATGGATATATGAACTACTTGGAAAAATTTCAAATGCCTATTTTTGTTGAAGAATTTATAATAAAATGATTAATATTAATAATTGACCTTCAAGCATAAAAATATTGATATGACTTTTGGGGTACAATAGTGTTCTGATTATATATATCTTTCTCGTCAGCCATCCTGCCTGAAACTCAGGAAACACAGGGTTCCTGGTGGTGTAATATGAGAACACCTGAAAATTACCTTGCCCTTACTTGGCAACCCAGGTGGGATAAATACTGGCCCTGGAGTTGCTTTCCTTAAATCTGTAAGTAATGTCACTTATGTTTTCTTGGCCATCCTGGGTTTATCCCAAAATATGTTGTTTACCTAAGACTTCCAAAATGATGGTATCTTTTTTAGAAGTGTGTGTATATGTTAGGGTGACACTTCTTCATAGACTTGCTCCCCCCAAATCATACATTGATCCCATGTAAATTGACAGGCTAATATAGTCTTTTATGCATTGCATGGATACTGTTTTTACTGAGCAACTGCTAGGTGCCAGGCACCATGTTAGGGGTCAGGGATAAAGCAGTGAGAAGGACAGCCATCGTCTCTGGCTCACATAGCTCAGCAGTTAAGGAGGTATCCCTAGTTTGTGAATAAAGAAAAAAAATCCTATTACTTTCTTTTAATAATTATTTTTTTGAGGCAGGGTCTTATACTGTTGCCTGAACTAGAGTGCAGTTGTGTCGCGCCCGCCTCGCCAGCAAGGAAGACGCGGCAACTGGAGTTCTTCTGACAGTGCTTTAATGGGGTTCCCTTTAGACTTACATGATGCGGAAGACCCAGCCCGGCAGCGCGCAGGCTGCTATATACCCTAGAAGCACAACCCCTAAGCTGGGATAGGCCGCTCAGCTGTCGAGCCACCAAAGCATTAGTCCATAGCAGGACCTTCTTTGCATGCTTGCGCCACAGGGCAACCGACAATTGCGCGTGCGCTGAACTTGTTTGCTGCTCTAGGCAAAGCCGGTAACAGGCGCCAACTTGTAATGGCGTTGACACCGCGCCCCACATCTCCCCCTGTTTTATTAATTTAATGAGAGCTGAGCAACCGTTCAGCACCGTCCTTCGACCGTGCGATCAAGGTTGCAGAGCCTCACTTTCACCAGCAACCACCTAACCTCGTGCAATGAGCACAACTCGGAGGTGTGCAAAGGCTGGCTGTGGGATAGGAGACATGCCTTATTTGGTGCAATGGGAGAGACCCCTCAGAGTGCAAAGGCCATGTCTACTAAAATACCTGGGGGTAGGAGCGGGCGCAACCCAAAACTAGGCTAACCTTTTAGCATGGTCCACAACCTGTGCAGACTGTCTCAGTTCAAGCGCAGCAAATGTCTGTGCCAATACCACATGGTCCGTGGCTGCAAGACCGAAACAGAGTCATAGAGCTAGGAGCTTCAACAGGAACAGGAATGTATCTAGGCAAGCGGGTAACAATGGCAGAGGGGTGAGACGTGGCATTCCAACACATGATATATTGCACGGTATTAGAGGAACAGTTCACATGTGTACCAGAGGGTTTTTCCGTGGATACCACCCAGATAAACGGGGGCCAAACCCAGACAGGTATAGGGGCAAAGGTCGCGTTTCGCCCTCCCGCAATCACCCTCACAGAACCTTCAAAAGAGTCGCTAAGATTCCCTGCGAAACTAGCATTCCCTGCCATACCCCTAGCCACCAATGGACAGGGGAGCCAAGTCTGTGCAGCTTCCGTTAACCCCACACAAAACACAAAGTCCCTTAAGGAGAAGGATCTATTTCCCTCCAGTTAAGCAGGGAGCTCACGGGCTCTCAATAACAGTAGGCGGGGGAAAACTGATGCGTCATGTGTCACAGGCATCGGCAGGGGAAGCACTGACAGGATCCCCCAGCGTGGCTCCGATGCCATCCTCGCGATCATCCATACTGTCGTCAGGGGAGTAGCCAGCACGTCTTCATGCTGCTCAGAGGCTGCTGCCACCGTTCTAGTCAGCCGCGTGGGCACCCAGATGGATTGTCCTGGTCCTGTGGAAAAATACAAATAGCTCCCTGGATCTCATTAACACTGGATCCGGGCCTTTCCATAGATTAGACAACACATCTTTCCACTTCACTAATTCTTTCTGTGGCGGAGCAGGCGTGACATGCCTGTCTGCTGCCGAACGTCCCTTGACATCTAAATTAAAAAATTAAAGTAAAGAGAGCAAAGGAAAGGCGTCCTTTGGGTGATAGCCCTAGCTGTAGGCATCTCCCCTTTTGTTTTTGTAAGTACATTTTGAGCGTGCCGTGAGCACGTTCCACGATGCCTTGCGCTTGAGGGTTGTAGGAAGACCGTACGGTGCTCCAACCCAAGCGAGTGCAAAACTGCTGAAAAGATTTGAGGTATAAGCCGGGCCATTATCTGTCTTAATAACCCAGGGCTTGCCCCAGGCTGCCCAAGCTTCTAGGCAGTGAATGATAACGTAACTTGCCTTTCTCCAGCCAGAGGCGTGGCAGAAGGACGCCTGAGCAGTGTCAACAGACACGTGAACATACTGAAGCTTCCAAAGGATGGACATGATTCATCCATTGCACATTTGTAGACGGCAAACCCTAGGATTTACGCCCGTATGAACAACGGTGCGAAAAGAGCACATTTGGACATTGCAGTACAATCTCACGAGCATCTGCTCACGTGTGATGCTGAACTTAAGCGTAAGTTTCAGCTGGCACATGATAAAGTTTATGAAAGTCTATGGCGGCGGCGTGGCCATCAGACACCCAGAGGGCGCGAGTGGCGTGATCTGCCATAGCATTTCCCGCAGCCATAGGTCCAGGTAACAAGGAATGAGCTCTGATATGCTGAATGGAAAATGGGTTTCCTATTTGAATAGTATTCCTAATTCTGTAAATACAGAAAGACAGTACCTTGGCAAGAATGTGAAAGGATTCTCTAACTGTTTAAACTGCGTTGACCACATAAAGGAGTCTGAGATGATGTTGATAGGTTCAGTGATGGTACTGAGAACCAGACCGACTACGGCACACTCTACTAGCTGAGGAGAAGAATAGTTAAACTGTTTGGTATACACCTTGTCCTGAATGACATAGCTCCCAATACCCGTCTTAGAGCCATCGGTATACACATCCAAGGCATCAACCAAAGGTTGCAGCGAAGTTACTCTTGGGAAAATAAGCTCGTTCCTCATTGCAAACTGCAACAAGGCATGTCTGGGATAATGGTTGTCAATGCTCCCTGGGAAGGTGCATCTCAATATGGCCCATGCATCAAGAGTGGCACATAAGGTGTTTACCTGATTGGCAGTATATGGACAAATCAGGCTATCAGGGTGACGCCCAAAATGGGACACAGCCAAACTAATACCCTTTAAAGCTATCTCAGCCACACAGTAGGATAATGGCCAATCACCTTCCTGGAAGGCTTGAGTTGCACCCATAAAGGGGCCATCCTGCCAAAGCACTGCCGTAGGGAGCGTGAGAGAAGGGAGTACACAGAGGGAGAAAGGATCATGGTGCTGAATGCGCACTACTTGCGCCTTTTGAATGGCTTCTTCTACCTTATGAAGAGCCTTTAGGGCCTCAGGAGTCAAAGTTCTAGGAGACGTGATGTGTGAGTCTCCCTCTAGAATCTGAATAATGCTTCAGTTCTGCTGTGGTAAGACATAAAAAAGGTCGAAGCCAATTGATATCTCCTAGCAGCTTTTGAAAATCGTTAAGTCCTCAAAGCATCTCTTCGGATGGACAGTCTTTGAGGCACAATTTTGTCAGGGAGAATGCTACTACCAAGAAACACGCCTACTTCTCCCTCTTGCACCTTTTCTGGAGCGACCAGCAAGCCTTTTTCCTTTAAGTGAGCCTGAAGGGACGCATAAGCTTGGCGAAGTACACCATCATCACAATGACACAAGAGAATATCATCCATATAGTGTATAATTCTTACCTTTGAAAACTTCTGCCTAACCGGCTGGATAGCTGAGGCCACATAAAGTTGGCACATAGTGGGACTGTTAGCCATGCCCTGAGGCAAAACCTGCCATTGATATCTTGCATCAGGCTGCTCATGGTTTATGGAAGGAAGCGTGAATGCAAATCTGCTTTTATCTTGTGGGTGCAGGGGAATAGAGAAAAAACAGTCCTTGATGTCCAAGATGATCAGACTCCAATGTTTAGCAAGCTGAGAGAAGGGCAGTCCTTCTGAACAGGCCCCATAAGCTGCATCTGGGCATTAATTGCTCTAAGGTCATGCAACAGTCTCCATTTACCAGACCTTTTCTTAATCACAAAAATAGGAGTATTCCAAGGAGATTGAGAGGGTTCAAGATGCCCAAGAGTGAACTGCTCTTGCACTAGATTATGGGCCGCGAGTAACTTTTCAGAGGGTAAGGGCCACTGAGGCACCCACACTGGCTCCTCTGTATTCCAGGGTATGGGCAGAGGATCCTCAGTGGCCCCTAAGAAAAACCCAGCCCGTGCCTAGAGGGTCGTGGCACAGGCTCTATAGGTTCAGTTCTTCCCTGCAAGTTCCTCCCAAGCCCTTTACCTGGGACACAGCCCATGCTCTTCATCAGCTTTTGCTTTGAACAGAATAGTCATTGGTCAATTGAAGTCCAATTGCCGTAGCAAATCTCTACCCCAAAGATTTACAGCAGAGGTAGACATAAGGTTGAAACTACCCTCTCTACCCTCATTATCCTTCCATTTCAGGGTCTGGGCGCTGATCACTGGAGAGGATGCATATCCCAATCCCTGCAGAGTCTGAGCTGAGGGGGCCAATGGCCACGTTTGGCGCACCAGCGTTCAGAAATTAATGTCTTTCCTTGTATGGTTAAGTCCATAGTAGGACGTCATTCTAAATTCAATGAAATATGCACAGTTTCCTCCAGAGGAGCCAAAACCTTTTCTCCCTGATTTTTGTTTACTAGGGAATATAGAATGGAGGCTAGGTAAAATTAGCAACTGTGCTATCCGGTCTCCTGGATATGAAACTATGCCTCTAGGAAGAGCAAAGAATTTTACTTGCCCTTCAAAATCTGATCAAAACTCCTGGGTGAATTATTAATCCTGCAGAGTTGATGAAGACCTGCCAAGGACGAGTCCTACAGTA